AGTTGAAAACCTTCCCACAAAGGAAGCTTCAGGCTCATGAGCCTTCCCTGAGGAATTCTGCCAAGTATTTAAGGAAAAGATAATATCAATTATCAGTTCTTTGGGAATGCTTCCAAGGTGGCTCAATGGAGAAGAATCCGCCTGCAATGCAGAAGAGTCGATCCCTGAGTCAGGAAGTCCCCCTGGAGGAGAAAGTGCTGCCCCTCCCCAGCGAGTTGGCTCCTTGCCTCAGGCGGCCGGTGTCGGAGCCGCAGCTCCAGCCTCAGTCCTTCGGTGGACACTCAGGGCTGGTTTCCTTTAGAAGTCACTGGTTTGATCTCCTCGGTGTCCAAGGGACTCTCAAGTCTTCTCTAGCGCCGTTCAGAAGCATCATTTCTATAGTACTCAGCCTGCCCTGTGGTCCAGCTCTCACATCTGTACACGCCTACTGGGAAAACCATAACTTTGACTCTGCAGACGTTTGTCGGCAGAGTGACGTCTCTACTTTTTAAATACGCTGTCTAGGTTTGTCGCAGCTTTTCTTCCAAGGAGGAAGCGTTTTTAATTAAAGCATGCTATCTGGGCTCAAACGTCCTCCCTTCCAGGACAGAAGCTCCCGAGCATTGGTCACCACGGTCCTGCAAAGGACAGGCACGTTTTCTTCGTCTTTCCTTTTGACGTTCTCAACGCTGGCATGACCCGAGCAGCGGAGACCAGAGAGGAAGGCTCCTGCAGCTGTCCGCCAGTTTGCCAGAGCGGGCACGGATCCCCCACGCCTCAGCGGGGTCCAGTCTGAGAAGTGTCCTCAGTACTTGCCGACCTGCTCCTCCCCAGTCCCTCTCCATCCCAGAAGAGGACGGAGTCTGGCTCCTCACTGCTCCGCACCCCACCCGTCTTGCACACGTGGAGACAGGGGCCCAGGGAGATCCCCGCTGGTCTTGCTCCAGCAGGGCCACCATGATGGTCGAATGGCCTCTGACTCACTGGGGCTCCCCTGGCGGGAACTTGGGTGACTCCTTGGCCCCCAATGGCTGGGAGACAGCACCCCAGACTGAAGCCAAGCTGCCTGGCTCACCTCCTGGCTCCCCCCGTTCCTAGCCCTTTGACCTCAGACAGGTCCCTCAACCTCTCGCTGACATAGTTCGCTCACCTCCTCCAAGTTCAGAGAGAACTAAAGGGGTGTAAAGCCATCGAACAGTGCTTGGCCCCGACAGAGGCTGCAGAGTGCTCTTAAATAAATAAATGGCTTCAGCCCCGCCTCGTCCCGAGGCCTGGGCTCCTGCCATTCCCACCCAGAGAGCTCTGGGTGGAGGCCCGCTGACGCTGCAGACGTCTGCCCGGTGCCCCCCACGCAGCAGGTCCTTTCCAAGCCTTGTCAGCCTCGCGCCAGCGGGATAAGGGGAAGCCTGGTGAGCCTCGTTCCCAAGATGCGGGGCTGGGCCCCGAGACAACCACACCGTCCGCAGGTGACAGGGTGGGACCAGGCCAGGTCTGTCCGCCTCTGAGACTGGGCCTAGGAGCGGACCAGCCCCAGCCAGGCCCACCTGGCGCCTCTTCCACTTGCAGCCAGCTTCCTGGGTGTCCCTGCCCGCAGAGGAAGCCTCTCTGGGGGTCACAAGGGCCCCTCGAAGAGGCAGACTGCCCCGGAGCCGCTTAACACGCTGGCCCAGCCAGGGCATCGCACGCGTCCATCTGAGGGGTGGGGAGATTGAGACCAGCTACCACCGCCTGCATCCAACCAGCGCTTGGCTGGCAACACTGGCCACGGTCCCCACAGCATCCTGGTGAGACTCCCTCCACGCGGTCACGATTATCAGGCCCCAGGTCTGTGGCAGACGCGGGCCCGGGGTGGGCAGGGAGGATGCGGCTCAGCAGCTCGCCCGGACCGGGCTGTCCTCCTCATCCTCCCAGCCCCCGGGGGCCCGAGCCCACTGTCCCAGAGTGGGGGCCACTGGGCAGGTCCGTGGCGTTAAAGCAGGGAGGCTGGGGAGGGGCCAGGACCCCACGGTGGAGAGCGGAGGGAGCCGGTGCACGGAGGGGAGCAGAGCTGGGCTGAACGGGTCCACTCAGGCCTCCCAGGAGAGCTCCCCCGGGCGCAGGGAGGCAGGGGCCTGACCTCACCGCCTCCTGACTTCCCGGGCCTGACGCTGCCCTTCTGGCCCAAGACGCTGCCCTGTGTCCGGCCGACTACAGACGTGTGTCACGGTGCCGGCTTGCAGTCCGCTGAGGGCTGGAGCTCTTGGGAGGGTCTGCGGGGGCGCTCCCCTAGGCGGGGGTCTCCCCCCGCCCGACAGGACCCCGCCACCCCTGGTGCTGACCTGCAGGGGAGCCCTGGGCCAGGCACGGTGACGCTGCTCAACTCGCTTGGCCTCCCTGCCCAGCTCCCGGCGGGGCTGAGCTCCAGCCTCCCATGCGGGCCTGGGCGGGCGGCGAGGCGTCTGGTCTGCAGCCCGCCCGTGGGGCTCCGCCTGTCCCCCACCCCCACCCCGCGTGCGCCCTTGGGTTTCCCCACGGGGGAGGACTCTGGTGGGGCCCCCAGGGCCCGCAGGGAACACAGAGCTCTCTGTCTCTGACGGCTGTCTCTCCTCCCCTGCCCCTTGGAGCTGCCCACTCGCCAAGTGCAGGAGCCCTGGCAGCCGGGCAGCCCTGTGCGCCCCGCGGGAGATGGGCCTGGCCTCACCGGCACACTTGTGTGCCCGGCCCAGGGGGTCCCGGTTGCTGGGGGGCGGGGGGGACCGGCACAGTTGTGTGCCCGGCCCAGGGGGTCCCGGTTGCTGGGGGGCGGGGGGGACCGGCACAGTTGTGTGCCCGGCCCAGGGGGTCCCGGTTGCTGGGGGGGGCGCAGGTTCAGCAGCCTGGGCTCAGGCAGGAGCCCGGCCCCCTCTGGTCCCGTCCTCCAGGTGTCCAGGCCCTGCCCCAACCCGAGGGCGGGTCTCGGAGGTCTCCTCCAAGGCCTCGCCCACAGACGGACTCCCACTTCTCCAGGCTCCCAGGAGCACCCAGGGGAGGACAGAGTGAGTCTGGTCCCTCCCTTTAGGGCAGGCAGGGCCCCGCTTCTGCTCACCCCAGTGGCCGGGCTGGTGCCCAGCAGCCCCCAAGGCCCACGGTGCAGAAAGGCTGAGGTGGAGAGGACGTGGCCCTTTACTGTGGGGTCTGCAAAGCATGGGCCCCTCCTCCTCTGCCCACTGGCTCCGGGGGGGCCTCCGCCCCCATCACCCCGCCCACCCGCGGGCTCGGGAGGCGGGAGTCAGGGCGGCTGGCGGGTCACGCGGAGCAGCAGGCTTGCGGCGCGGGCCCTGCAGCCGTGGAGCCCCAGGGGGATGCCAGGGCTGGGGCCTCGGGTCCAGGCCCTCGTGGATGGTGGGCAGCGAGGGGCGCTGGCTCAGCCACTCCAGCGCAGGCTGGGCAGCAGGGGCTGGAGAGGGGAGGCCGTGTCCACATTGCTCCAGGCCAGTCCCGGGAGCTTGGCGGTGACTCGAGGGCCTCGGGGAGCTCGCAGGCGGTGGCCCACGTCAGCCGGTCGCCGTTGGGCAGGACCTGGGCTGGCAGGGCTGACTCAGAGGCTGGGCAGCAGCGGGCACAGCAGCCCATCGCTGAGCCCTCCCTGTGAAGCTCAGGGCCAGCCCCGCCAGCCCAGGTAGCGCGTGACGGGCCGCGGGTCCCGGGCCGACCGTGGGTTCCCGACAGGTCCACAGCCTCGCCCACCCTGCAGTCTTCTGGAGGCTGCCGGAGAGTCACGGGTGGGGACGGCCTGAGCAAGGGCCCCGCCACCTCCACTCTGGCCACAGGCGGCGACCCTCAGTCAGGGCAGCCCGGCCCCTGTGCACGGCCACTTCCTGGGCGAGTGGCCACGGGCAATGCTGGCAAGAGCTCTGAGCCCCAGTTTCCCGCTTGGTTAAGAGCCGGCCTGGCTGTGAGGATTCGATGCACCTGTGTTCATCAAGGCTGTTCTGCAAACCCGCTGTTGCGGCTTCACCACGCCTGTCACAATGGTTGATTTTTACGCCAACCGAGTGGGTGGCAATGCTTACCCCGTGGTGCTCGAGAGGGGCGGTGACCTGACTTCTCCACGGTCACATACCACTACGGGGCAGCCAGGTCTGCAAATCGGGGTGCTCGGACCCCCAAGTCCACCCGGTCGGTGTTCCCATGTGCCTCCTTGAAGGTCCCTGACCGTTTTGGATAGATGGATGCTCCTGTGAGGGTGACTGGTCCCCCCACAGGCCCAGGCTAAGCAAGAGGGCCATGCTGGGGGACGAGGGCGGGGACCTGCCCTGTGGGAAGCTGGAACTCTGGGAGACGGAGGAGGGTCCCCTACCCGCTGCAGAACCCCTGTGGTTCTCTCCTGTCGTTTGAGCCTGGGGCTGGCAGCCTAGGGGCTAAGAACACCTCCAGGGCCTCCGCCCGCCAAGACAGGGAACAGCTCCCAGGGCCCCAGAACGGGCGTGGACCCGCAGGCCTGAGGACCAGGGCAGCAGGCTGGGGGCAGCCAAGGAGGCGCTCCAGGGCCTGTGGCCAGGCTGTCTGTGCGCACGCGGCCATGGCGGCCCGACGGAGGGGGCCCCGTGGTAGCGTGGGCCGCTGGGCTGGCCGCGGAGCCTCGGCTCAGGCAGGGGGTTCCCGGAGGGTCGTGTGGCCCCCAGCCTCGGTTTCCTGCCTGGTGACAGGACCCGGACGCCTCCTGCCTCCCAGGCTGCCACGGGGACTCAGCTGACCGCCGCTGAGGTCATTTTGGTCCAGGGGGACCGGGCCCTGGGCCATGCGAGGCGCAGAGGGCAGGGCAGACGGCAGCTCCCACGGAACGTGCAGCGAGGGGGCGCCTCCACCTGGGGGTCCGCATGCCCGCCCCCTCTTCAGCCCTGGGCCTCCCTCCAGGGCGGGCGGGCCCCCTGCGGCTGTCAGGCGTGAGGGGCAAGACTACAGACGAGCTGCCGGCAGGTCCTGCCCAAGGACTCCGAGCTCCAGGTGCTACGGGGGGCAGCGTGGTCAGGGAGGCCGGCCTCGGGGGCCTGAGCGCGGGCATGCGCACAGCCGGCCGTCCGACCGCGGGCCGCCCACTGGCTGACCCCCCCGCCCCCCGCCGCAGCCTGGCTTGCAGCCAGGAGAGGCTGCCCGCTGGGAGCTGGACAGGCTGGTCCGAGGCCCGCGGGGCCCGGCGGGAGGAGGCCCAGACAATGGGCCCTTGTTCCTGGTCCTCAGGCCCCGGGCCAGAGCCTCGGGCCACCCGCCGGCTCCCCGCGCACCCTCGGCGCCCCCAGGGACCAGGCCCCTCCAGGGAGCCCCGCTCCCCCCACGCCGCCCCAGGAAACAGGAGCCAGCCAGGTCAGCACGCCCTCCCCCCTCTCCCCGTCCAGCGGGCTGGCGCCCGTGGACTGGGTCTGGGCCGCCGGGGGAGGGTGGCTGTTTAACAGCGCGCCCCCCCCCCCATCCTGGCCCCCTCTCTTTCGCTCCTAAGCGGGCCCTCGCAGAGGCCCAGCTGGGGCAGGATATGGGGTGGCCTGCTTTCTGCAGAGCCGGCACCGAGCCCGCTCCGCCACCCAGCACATTCTTTCAGCCAGGGCTCTGTGAGCAGCGTGCGTGCACAGTGGCAGCAAGCCCGGGGTCCCCGCAACGGCTCCAGGCCAGCCTCAGGGCGCCCGCAGCGACTGCTGCACCTGCATGCAGCGGCTCAGAGCCAGCCGGGCCCGGGAGGTGGCCCTGTCTCACGCCCCGGCTCACTGTGACCGGGGACTGCGGCGGCCACAGGCTGTGTCAGGAGCGGGACGTCCAGTGGGCGGGGGGACTGCAGGTGGCAGGGGCCAGCCCAGCAGGAGGAGAGATGTGCTCCTGGCGTGAGCTACTTGGGGAGGCAGTGGGCTCCCGTCCACAGGGGGAACGTGTGGACCGGCTCTCTCCCGGCTCTGGGCCTCACTAGATCTGTCAGAGTGTTGTGGATCCCGAAGGTTCTCCATGTGACCCCCTGCCTGGGTCCTGGGGCCGGGCCCATGGCTCAGGAAACAGGTCCAGATGACAGGTGGCACCCCGGGGCTGGGGCGGCAGGGTTCCCACGGGCTGCGGCTGCAGGCCAGCCTCACACACGACGCCGGCACGGGGTCCCAGAGACAGACGCTGACCCTTGTTCTGAGGCCATACACGCAGCAGGCTGGTGGGGGGGCCCCCCCGAAGGCAGCTCCAGGCTCCCGTCCACCAGGCCGCCCAGCCCGGGGCACTGCAGGTCAAGGGTCAGGGGCCCAAGCAGGCCGTGGGCAGGCTGAGGAAGGCCGCGTTCCTGCAGAGCAGGCCAGGGAGCAGGGCCCCCTCCAGGCCCAAGTCCTGCAGGTACTGAGAGTGGAGTGAGCCAGGGCCACGGCCTCCCCGCCCTGGACGCCCTCCCAACCGCTGCCCCCGCCCCGGGCTTGCTGGGCCCCCTTCCCCCGCCCAGCAGCGACGGGCCAACTGTCAGGGCAGCTGGACACTACATGAACAGAGTCGGTGCGTCGGGGGTCTCAGGGAGGCGATTTGTGGGTCTGGGAACCCTTAGACCGATTCCCTGGAGGTGAAGACGTTCTGAGACCCCCACGGCTCCTCTGGGGTTGGGCTTGTCTTTGGGGGGCTCCTCTGATGACCGCCCAGCGCCCCTGCCCTTCAGCCCCCCCGCCTCTACCCGCCTAGGCCCCAGGTCTCCTGGGCTGTGGCTGCAGCCCAGACCCTGCCTGTCAGGGCGGCACTCGGCTCAGACCAGGTGATCCCTGCCCTCACTCAGCAGGGGACGCCACCAGCCCCGGCTTCGCAGCCCCTCTGCAGAGTGCAGGGGCCACCCTGCCTCCTCCCTCAGCCCGCTGCCCAGCCCACCCACCACTCGGGCAGCCTCCGGCCTCGCCCCCGACAGCCTCCTCCCGGGGGTCCCAGCCTCCCGCCCCTCCCAGCCGGAGCCAGCTCCACCGCAACCTGGGCTTGACCCTCTTTGTGGAGAGCAAACGTCCTCAGGTCGTGTGGTGGCAGAGACAGCCTGCAAGCCTCAGACTCTGGCCTCCACGGCCTCCCCCGCCCACCAGCCCCCCTGTCCAGCACCCATCCAGCCTCCCCACCTCAAGCACATCCCCCATCAGGCCCCCCGGCCTGCCCTGTCCTTCCCAGCCCCCCGACACCCCTGCCTTGGCCTCCTCCTCCTGTCATTCCCCTGCGCCCTGCATGCTTTTAGGGGGTCCGTTTACAGGATGCAACAGGCACAACCAGGGTGGGCCTCCAGACCGCAGGTCAGGTACCTCTGCTGACCCCGAGCCAGAGAGTAGCGTGCTGTGTGCGTAAAGCCCAGGAGGGCACGGGAGGCCGGGCCCGAGTGCCTGAGGGCCGTGGGGCAGGGCAGGCCCCACCCTCTGGGACACCAGGGGGCAGCCCCCACCCCCAGCTAGCGTGCCCAGCCAGCGCCTTGGGCTCCTTGCCAGAGAGGGATGTGCTGTGTGCGTAAAGCCCAGGAAGGCCGTGGGGCAGGGCAGGCCCCACCCTCTGGGACACCAGGGGGCAGCCCGCTGACATGCCAGCCAGCGCCTTGGGCCCCTCGCCAGAGAGATGCAGAGCCCTGGCTGCTCCATGCTGCTCCATTGGCGCCTCATGCACAGTGCAAGTGGGAGACGCCAGCTAGGGGGGGTCCAGAAGCCCAGGCTGACCCAGACAGGGCCCCGGAGACCCCAGCCTGCCCTCTGCAGGCGTGCACAGCTCCCCTGAAAGGGCCAGCCCCAGCCCTCCCGCCTGCGGAGCCCAGAGGGGCAGGCTCCGGCCTCGGCTGGCCCCCGCTTTGCTGGGCTCGCCCCTCTTCTCCAAGCCCCCGTCCACCTGCAGACCAGGCTGATCTCGGCGCACGGGGCCGTGTGGGCGGGGCGCCGGGACTTGCCAGAGAGGGAAGCTGCGTGCGGATGGTGACTCCTGGGGGTCCCCGGGCAGCGGCGTCTGTGGAGCCAGGGCCCCACCCACCCTGACACGATGCTGCAAGGCACAGCAGGTGCCAGGCGTGTGTCCTCGGTGGCCCCGGGCGCTGCCCGTGAGGAGGATGGGCCTTGTCTGAGCAGCCAGGGTGAGGCTGCTGCACCCGCTGACCAGCCGGGCGGGGCTTGGCTCCCCCAGGTCCTGGCTGCAGGATCCAGGGCCGGGCCTCCCGTCTGCCCATTGCCCCTCGGGACAAGAGCACTGGCCCCCAGCCGCCCTCCTTTCTTGGCAGGGTCTGAAGGCAGGAGCCCAGCTCCAGGCTAGGAGCCACAGCCGACCTCAAACCCCACAGACGCACGGACTGTCCAGGGAGCCCCTCCCCAGCTGTAGGCCACTGCTCTCCGTGCCTGCCTCGCCCCGCGGGCCAGACGAGACCCCCATCGTCCCCTCCCCTGGGCACCGCCCGGCGGGCGCGACCGCTCCGTACTGCCTCCCGGCCCCTCCCCGGCCTTCAGCCCCGGCCGGCCCTCTCCTTCTCTCGCCTGGCGCAGGAGGCGCCGCAGGTGCCGGGCGCGCTCGGGCCGCTGCTCGTGGAGCGTGGACTGGATCTCGCGGAGCCCGCGCACCCGGCGCTCCTAAGGCGCGGGCCCGCACCCCGCCGCCGCCCCGGCCTCCGAGCCCGCGTCGGTCCCGGCCCGCCGGCCCAACCGCGCCCCCAAGGCCGCCCCACGGCGGGCGCAGACCGGGCGGGAGGCCTGGCTGCCCGGCGCCCCGCCCCGGCCCCGCCCCGGCCCCGCTCCTGCCCGGGAATGCGTGGCGTTCGGGGCACGCGATCCGAGGCTGAGCGCCCTGGTCGGGCCGGAGCGCGGGGCGGGGGAGGGGGAGAGGAGGGCCCCTGCCGGGGTTCCCGGAGATCCCACAGTCGGTTTGGGGGTGTCGCTGGAGGAGGCCATCGGCCCACGCTTGTCCTGGCTCGAGCTGTGTCGCCAGGGACTGGAGTCACCAGAGGGGAGGTGGCGCTCGGCGCCTGCAAAGCCTCCGGGCACCCGGGGCTGCCCGTGGATCGATCGTTTTGGCGATGAAAGGAAGGAGACTGGACTGGGGGGTCGGGGTGGGGTGGGGGGATCAGCTGAAGGCGGTGCCAGCACCGGTTCTCAGAACCTGCCCCCAGCCCTCCACGCAGCGCAGGTGTAGTGCCTCACTTTTCCGCCCTTTGTGGGCTCTCCTGCCTTGACAAATATTTACGCTTTCTTCCGCCTTGGCTGGCTGCAGAGCTGGGCGAGCCAGCGGCCTCTGCCAGCCACCTGGGGCATGAAGGGGGTGCGGGTGCTGGTTAACCATCTAACCCCAGCTCTGGGCAGACTGGCGGCAGGCTGGCCGCACCTGCCTGCCTTCAGCCTTCCTCCCAGGCAGAAGTGGGGGAAGCGTGTGTGTGTCGGGGTGGGGGGTGCCTTGCTACTCCAGGGGCCAGGTGTGAGCGCTCGGGGCCCCTCGCTGGAGGGGTCTTCGTTGGGGGTCCACCCCCCCTTTTAGCTCTTCCCCCCAGCCCCTTCGCATCCCAGCGCAGGTGAATTTGGCTCCAGAGCCCTGACTTCCACAGCAGGGAGGGTGTGTGTCCAGCCTGGGAGTGGTGCCCAGGGACTGTGATGGGGGAGGACCGGCCCATGAGGGAAGGCAGACTTCAGGGCCTTCTGCAGGGTTAAGCACCGCTCCACCCCCGCAGGAGTAGGGCTGAGCCCGTGCTGGGCTCTGTGGTCCCGGGGTCTGAGCCCTGGAGACGAGGCAGGGGGCCGGCCCCCGAGCCGTGCTGGGCTTGTTCCTATCCTGGCCCCCTTCTTTCCTGCCATTGGACGGCTGGACGCAGACGCCCCCCCCCCACCCCCCGGTCTGTAGCCGGACCATCTTGGCGCCGCAGGCTTCCTCCTTGGCAAACCTGCAGGACGGCCCCACCTGCCTTCCTCCGGGGCCCAGGCGACGGCCCAGTGCAGTGACGTGGTGGGGTCCCAGGCCTTCAGCAGCGGCCCCACGGCCCCGGGGGCCTCCAGACCCCTGCCCAGAGCCGGCGGCCCAGCCAGCCACACACGCAACGCCCCGCCCCATCCCAGGACCGGAGCCAGAGCTGGGACGCCTCCCAGCTCTTGACCGTATCCTTCCAGAGGCTGAGCCAGGCCCTGGACCTGGTCCGCCCCGAGAGTGAGAAGGCCGAGGTGGCGGCGTGGGGTTGGCGGGGCGGGGTGAGCAGGGGAGGGCCAAGCCTGGATGTCCCTGAAGGGGCGACCAGACAGCGGTGGGGTCGGGGGTCACGCGCAGAGTGTGGGGTCCCGTGGGAAGTGGAGAGCTGCTCCCCAGCCCTGAGTCTCATCCCCACGCCACCCTCTGTGTCCTTGGCTGAGAGATTCCTGGAGGGTGTTTTCCATGAAAGGGGGGAGGGTGGCATCTGGGCTCAGATCCCGTGGGGGTGTCCAGGTTGACTGTCCCAATCTGCGTTGGACAGAGGCCCTAGAGGCAGAGCTGTGCCCTCAGGGGTGGGGGCACCATCCCCCCATTGGCCGGCTCCCGTATGTAACTAAAACCTGTTTGTCCTATCCCTGGACTTGCCCTGGGCAGCTGAACTGTGTCTGGGGAGACCCCGTGGGATGGGTTGGGGGCCGTGGTCTTGCCCTCTGAGCCCCCAGGGCTGAGGTTGAGGTTCAGAAACTTGTATGCAGTCTCTCCGGCTCCCCAGGAGGTGCTAGTGAACAAGAACCTGCCCGCCAATGCAGAAGACTTGGGAGACGCGGGCTCGAGCCCTGGATTTGGAAGCTCCCCTGGAGAAGGAAGTGGCACCCCACCCCCGTCCTCTTGCCTGGGAAACCCCGTGGACAGAGGAGCCTGGAGGGCTCCAGTCCTTGGAGTCACTGGGAGTCGGACAGGCCTGAGCACAGCGCCCAGTCTCTCGGGGAGCCAGTGAGCTGGGAGGTTGAGGAGCTGGAGAGTCAGGTGGGTGGGTGAGGATGCTGAGGACGTCCTGGGCCCCGAGTGGGACCTGCCAGGAGGCCAGGAGCGCCAACAGTTGGTGGCCCAGCTGCTGTCACCGGGAACCAGGGGCCGGATGACCCAGCAGCTGTTGGGGGGAGGGCTGGGGCCGGCCCTGCACTGGACGTGTCCCACCTTCGGGCCTCTTCTCTCCATCCACCCAGTGTGTCTCTCCAAGCCCAGGAGCAGGGAGGCCAGCCCAGGTACCTCAGCGAGCAGCCAGGTGCCACGGACGCCTCCCGGCAGCAAAGAGGCACGAGGGAGCACTCGCTGGGAGGGAGCAAGCAGGAAGCAGACGGACACTCTGCAGAGACCGTTTCCCCTGGAGCTGGCTCCAAGGGGCGGGTTAGGAGCTTCCTGCAGGGTCAGGGGTGGCCTCAGGCCCCGGCTCCAAACCCCTGGACCTGCCCCTTTGCGGGGACAGAAACGTGGGTGAAGCATATAGTGCTACGAGTTTCCTGTGGTTTTCACAACATGTGAACCACAAACTTGGTGATGGTTTAAAACAACAGGAGTGTATCCTCTCCCAGTTCTGGAGGCCAGAAGTCGGAAACCAACCGGGGCCCTGGCAGGGCTGTGCCCTCTAAGGCGCTTCAGAAGCTTCTTTCTCTGCCTGTCGCCAGCTTCTGGCGGTGGCCAGCGTCCTGGCCCGCCTCGCCTTGCAGAGGCTTCCCACCAGTCTCTGCCTCCCGGGTCCCCAGGACCCCTCCCGGCCTCTGTGTGTCTCCCACTTTTGAGGTCGGCGTCTTCGGCCACGCCTGTCTGTGTTGCTGTGCGTGGGCTTTCTCCAGCGGCAGAGAGCGGGGGCTGCTTCCTGGCGTGTGGGACCCTCCCAGATCGGGACTGGAACCCCTGTCTGCTGCATTGGCGTGTGGGTGCTTAGCCGCTCAGCCGTGTCTGACTCTTTGCAAGCCACGGACTGTAATCTACCAGGCTCCTCAGTCTGTGGGATTCTTCTGGAAAGAATACTGAAGTACATTGCCATGCCCTCCTCCAGGGGATCTTCCCCACCCAGGGATCGAACCCGCATCTTCTGTGTCTCCTGCATTGCAGGCAGATTCTTTACCTGATGAGCCTCCAGGGAAGCCCCATGACCTGCTTACTGACTTAGGAGCCCGCCCCCACCCAGGATGACCTCATCATTACTGATGACTTCTGCAAAGATCACCTTTCCAGACAGGGTCCGATTCAGAGCCCCCAGGTGGATGAGGGTCTGGGGGGAGATTGTTCAGCCCACTGTAGCAGCTTCTGCAAAACCGTTTCCTCCTCTGGCAAATGGGGAAAATTAAGATGCCCACCTGGCAAAGCCGGAGGCTTAGACGCAGCAAGGAAGGCATCCAGCACAGACCCACGGTCGGCGCTGAGCACCTGTGGCTCTAACCAGGCTTCCGCAGCCCCGTGCCCAAGCCTCCCAGCGACCTGACGGCCATCACGTCCATTTAGCCGCGGTCACCGTGTCCCATGGGCGCCCCCGAGACAAAGATGCAGGAGGTCGATGGGAGAGCTGGGGGGAGCTGTGATGGGGGTCCCGGGGCCCTGCAGGAGCCGGGACAGCCCCCAACCAGGAGGCAGGGGAGGGCTTCCAAGAGGAGGCAGCGGTGTTGAGGTCAGGCCTGACGGAAGAAGAGTCCAGCTGGTGGGTGAACCACTCGGAGGGTCCGGCCCAGCCACGGGCCCTGACCTGGAGGGCGGCGTGCACCTCTGAAGGGAGTCTTGGTCAGGGAGGGACGTGGCCTGAGCGCCCGGGCTGCAGGGGGGCGGAGAGGGGCGCCTGGGGACCCTGCGGGGTTGCCACATGACAAGGGGAGGCTGGGGGGGACGGGGCGGGCCAGGGGCAGCGCAGCGGGGGAGGGCTCAGGGCCGCTGGGCAGGGCGGTGAAGATGCCTGGGCCCCCTTCCCAGGGTGTGGCTCTGCCTCCCATGGCCAGCGGAGGTCTGGGGAGGGTCGCCACTTAGCTCAGGTTTGGGCTTGTTGGTTGAAGCATCAGCCGACAGGGTGTTTCAGCAGGACGCAGCTAAAGAGAGGAACCGAGTCCAGGGCTGAGCCATGAAGGGTGTCAAAGAGAGGCTGAGGAAGGGGCCAGGGGGAGAGCTTCCAGAAGCCCAGGCAGGCCGAGCCGGGCGTGCACAGAGTGTGCGCATCGGTGAAACCACGCGTCCCCGTAGCCCCGTGCAGGGTCGCAGCCGTGGGCAGGGGGCTTGGGTGTCACACCCGCCCCCACCTGGAGACAGTAGGTGGGGGTTGGGAGCTGGACGAGACACCGCCTTCCTCCCCCATCCCCTGGAGCTCCCAGACTCGCAGATAATTACGAGGTGATGCGATAAATGCTACCTGTGCAGAGAGCCGTGGGCAGGCAGGGGGCGGCGGCTGCAGGCCCCACGTGCGGCCGGTCTCAGCGCGTCTGCCCAGCAACTGTTTGAAAGATCCGTGCTCTCCAGACAGAAAACATAGGGCAAGGAAGGAGAGGAGACTCTGGGCCGCCAGGCCTGGGGTTGAAGGGAACCTAGGCCCTGCACTTGCCCATGGGGCCCGGGCCCTTGGTCGCCCTGCCAAACAGCCTCTGAGGTTGGAACGTGGTCTACCAGGTGCCACACGGACTCTGCAGCCCAAGCTCCCGGTTGTT